ACTCGGGGAGTCGACCAAGCGAAGTGGACGGCGCGGCGTCGTCCTCCACGGGCTCATGCTCCCGTCGAGTGTCTCGGGACTGTGAACCAGAGCCTCGCTATCTAGACATGCTACATTGTGCAGAATTATCATAAATTAAGGTTCTATAGTATCTAAGGTTCACCTAGCCGCATGATACTATGTTCGCAAAAAACAGAGTACGTAGTACTAAAACAGAGCATAAATTCAAATTGAGCATATACGGCATTTTTCAAGCAATCAAACAATTTCTTGCAATACTATAGTAATTATTGTGACAAATTGGACAAGAATTGCTAGCAAAAACATCAAGAACAAGTCACATTGCATTCCCGACCTTAAGAGGTCCAACAATGGCAATTTGCTCATTTCTTCACCAAATTCAGTCAAACAAGTCTCAAATTACTCCCAAGGCAATATATAAACATAATCAAGCAATTTCATGGCATAAAATTTGATAAATAAATAGAATTAAGCATTCTAAATTTTGAAATTTCATGAAATTCGAATATAAACATGTGCAAAATTCATAAAAACCGGTGTGAGTTTGAAGAAAACTTAAATAGATCGGGAAAATGGATGAAAAGAGCTTTGATTTGTAACAAATTTGAGTGAATTCGATTGAGAAACGAGCAAGAACGAAGCAAATGAAATTCTGCGGTTTTTCGAGCAAAGCACGACGAGCAAAACAACAAAAATGAAGAAGAAAGGGGTATTTAAGGGAAATCCCGTTCTGGCGCCAAGCGCTAGGCTTTGGCGTCAAAAATCAGGCTTGGCGCCTGGCACCAGTCCCAGCGCCTGACGCTAAGGCCAGTTGTGTGGCGCTAATGCTTTTTCAGCGGCGCCAGAACACTCAGCCATTCAGTGGGGTTGTTCTACCTTTTTGCAACATATTTTGGGTTCCTTGTTACGCCAGTTAGCCCCTCTAAGAAATTTGACACGATTTTTAGTAGTCGGCTTGATTGCACAAAGTGATCGACCTGATGGAAGATCGTCTCACTTAGCTTAAAGCGCCTAAGCATTGGCTCATTAAAAAAAGGCACCGACATAGTGGCTCATTCGCAAAAGGCACCGACATACAGGTTCAAAGCAACAAAAGCGCCGACGTACAGGCATAGCGGGAGCAAAGTTCAAGCGAGCTTTTAAAGATCGACAAGCGGAGATCTTCTGTAATTTCCTTTGGAAAATTATCGCAACAAATGAGGATGGCTTCAAGTGAGGATATCTTCGACGACATTCCCTAGATTGTGGAGAGTTGTCACAAACAACTGAAGGTAATTTCAAGCAAAGTTGTCTTCGACCATGTTCGCTTAGACGTGGAAGATGGTCATAAAACGGAAGAAGATTGTTTCAAGCGAAGCAATCTTCGATAGTATTCCCTTGGACGTGGAATGTTATCAATGCGGAACAGGATTGCTTCAAGCGAAACAATCTTCGATGGTATTCCCTTGGACGTGGAATATTATCATAGCGGGAGAGGATCGTTTCAAGCGAAGCAGTCTTCTATATTGGAAGCAGTTACAAGCGTAGCAGTTTTCAAGCGGGATGGCATTCTCTTGGTGGGAGGTCATCAAAATAGCAGTAAAGCAGCAGCAAATCGGTTATTTTCAGAGACGTGTGCTCGACGGTGCAAGATACACGTTTCTTAACTCTTTTATCTGTTTAACAAACGCTAGTTTGCAGGTATCGGCGTTACAAGAGTGATTTAGGATCGCAGAACGTTCTGAATTATTCTCCGTTTCTATCAATACTTTGACTTTTGTTTTCGAAATTTGCGTTTCTCCAAACTCAGTCAAAGTGGGGGCTTCTGTAGACACCCATTTGTGTCTCCCCAAAACCAAACCCGGCGATGAATACCTTTCACGTCGAATCATAATCGAATGAAGTGAAAGTGTAAAACGTTTAGTGTTGCGGATAGTTTTAATTTCTTTTCTCTTCTCTCTGTTTTTGAAAACTTATTTTAAGAAAACAACCAATCATGTTTGTTTGGTCCATGGTATGGGTCCAATAGTAGTGTGGTTGGATGGGGCTTGACAAGAGCTTTCCAACGATATATTATAAGCCTAATTTCGATGAATATTGAGGAAGTTATGGCCAATTTACTAAACTGGGCCCGTTTTGAACCTTATATGCGGCCCAATGATCTAGGGGAGGGCCTAATATAGATTTATCAACCCTAATGCAATTAGGAATGGTTTTAGTCTACTATATTCTTCTACAAGGTTCTTTTCATTCCTAATTCGATTAGCATTGATAAATTGACTTTTGTTGACTTTTCAGAGTTTTAATAAAAATCAAAGAGCATTTTTTAGGGAAATACGATTTTATCCTCCTGTACGACAATTTTTATCTGATTTTAAGAAAACGCGTGATTTTCTGAATCAACGCCAAACACTAGCTGTAGCGCCTGGCGCTAGTGTTGGCGTCTGGCGCCAATGGCCAGCGTTGGCGCCAGTACGGTTTTACGTGCGCCAGACTCTGTTTTGATATTTTATCTTTTTGGCTGATTTTCTTTATAAATAACATCGTAAAAACTCCGTTTTCGATAACTAGTTTTCATCTAATAACTAGTGCTCTCTATTTTTCACCAACTCTCATCAAGATTCTCTTGATTACTCTCTCTCTATCTTTTTTTCTAAACTAGCTGTTCTCAAATACAAAAATTCCGCATTCATTAGATCTAGATACACCTAACCATATTCGAAGTTGCCTTCGCCCTAGACGTGAAAGGTTTAATTTCTGAGGGCTTGGTCTCAAATCTCTATTTCCATTATTTAATTTAATTGTTTTGTTTATTATTTTCCTTGAAATTACTAACGTGTGTATTTTGTTATTAGAAAGAGGTAGGAGGCATCAAAGTAAGTACTTTAATGGTTTTTATTGATATTATTATGTAGAAATCATGTTTAGTTTGTTATTATGATTCCTAGTATCATGTCTAGGGTGACTTTAATATCAAATATGATTATATGTTCTTCCTAATATTTATGATTGTTAGTATCATGTTAGGGTTAAAGATTTGATTTTTATTGCTTAGTGACATGCTAGGGTTTGTTATTAATCTTGTTAGTATCATGCCTAGGATCTTGCTATGCTTTAACATGATTATTATTATTATTAATATGATTGTTATTATGACGATTATTGTTTTGATTATTATTATGATTATACTTTATGATTTATGATTATAATTGATATAATTTTTGTTATGATGATTATTTTTAGTTATGATTGTTATGGTTATTATCATTATTTATTATTATTTATTATGATCATGTTGCTTGATTATTTATTGTTATTGCTTGATCACGCCTTTTATGCATGTTTAAAGGAAATTGGTACTTGTAATCATGCTTAATAAGATAATTAATAATCTTGTTAGGTTTAATATGGTTATAATTCAAGTGATCGCCAATAATAGATTTATTTGTGCATTAAATTCAACCAACATAGATAAACAGGTTTAGGGTTAATCCTATTGATTGCATGTTAGTCAAAAAACGCACATGAATACGATCAGAATAAAGTAGAGGCCTATTGTTAGGGCAGGTTCAATCTCTTTTAGGTTGGATTTGTACCTTCATCCCCGAACCCTTATTTGGTTCAAGACCTTATGGAGTTGACGATCTCTTGGATCGTTAAGGGGTGTAACCTTCACCCTGTGAATGGTTTACAAGTTCCTAAAACTTGTTGGCTACTCTCTTGCTCTATCTTCTTCCCTTTTGGACGCCACCGTACTTTAAGGTATGATCACAGTGGCGTTGAAGCTAGGGGTTAACTCTTGAAATTATTCCCTATAGATATCATATAAATATATTTTTTTTTTTACATATCATTCACAAAAGACGGTCAAGAGAGAGGTGGTGAATAATGTAAAAGTCAAAGCGGGTCAAGTAAAAAAGAACGGAGGAAGTACTATATACTAGAGTGTGTTCAAAAAAAAAAAACTATATACTAAAGTAATCACCAGAGGGGACACTTGCATGATTTTGTGAAAAAAATTTCCCTCCAAAATGCTCTACTTTAAAAAAAAATTATATTTAAAAAAATTGAAAGGGTAGACATTAATAAATTCAAATTTAAAAAAAAAAAGTGTTACATAAGTCATTTAATTTCAATCAACTTTATTTTAATTGACTATTATTATATCATACTGTATAAATCCGTGCATTGCACTGGGCCAAAACTAGTTTATTTTAAGGTGACACTTTCCTTTATGAGTAAGTTTTATACCTTGTCTTTTAAGAGACTCATTTGCTTATCATTCTCTTTCCTCTTCTTAATATGTGTTTAAATTAAACGTGTTAAGAAAATTAAAGACCAAGGACTGAATAAATACCCTTTTAGGTTAATACTCTCTCCCAACTTTTAATCACCCCTTTCAATTATATTAGGACTCTTTTATTTTTCTGACTCTTAGGTTTTTAGAATTAGGGTCTGTTCTCATACTTTTATTTTCAGTTCAGTTCAGAAAGATGGAAAATTATTTGGTGACAAAGATGATTTGGAGATTCAACGAACCATCAATCAATTGAGCATTTCTTATTCTATCTCTTTATTGCTTTAATTTACTTGTTTTTCCTAGTTCAATGTTTATGCTTTGCTTGTTATTTGTTTTGCTTTTTAGTTGTTATGGTACGTTCTATTCACCTGATTTTTACTTATCTGATCTTATCTGAACTTATCTTATTTTATGTGAACTTATTAGTCCTTATTAGTCCTTATTTTAGTTATAAATTGAACTCCCTGATTAACCCTTATCACAACTTATCTGAACTTATTTTTCCTAAATTTATCTTATCTGAAATAATTAACCCTTATCTAAACTTATTTTTCCTGAAATAAGTGGAAATAAGGTGTAACGCCCCGACCTCTAATTCAGTTATTAAGATAATCTTAGCAGCGGAATTAACCTAACACGATCGGGACGTCACTGCCGTAAATCCCGTAAATCCCTCACGAGATTTACAAGGCAACAAACATACTTAATTAACAAACTTGATTTATTAAACAAAGTAATCTATTTATTACAAACATTATTCTTATTTTTTTTTTATAATAGCAAATCCTATCTTATCTCAAACTTTACTAAGTAGCTTACTCTTACTATTCAAATTAAACAACTTAAAACTATAACTACTATTAAGTGATAACTGAAAGTAAAATCCTCGCTACTACTCGTCTCCATCATCCCCAGCAGTACCTAAAACATAAAAACATAAAAACGGGTGAGCCGAAAACTCAATAACGAACTACTCTAGTAGTGTAACATCATTTCAATTCATTTTAGTTAACAAAACAGGGAGAATGGAATATCTTAAAACATTTAATAAAATTCATATAATGATACATATAACGTTCATATTAACATGCTAGTCGCTGGCAAGTATGACATGGCGGAACGTCTTCCGCGATGGGCCGGTGCCCATAACATAGAGAAGATGCTCAACATAGTTGGGCTAATGCCCCATGGGTACATGCATGACCGAGAAGTAACCTGTAAACATATACTGCCAGAAGGACTAGGTATTTCACTGTTATTTATCATGTTGTGCAACTTTTACATAAGTCATTCATAGATTCATGACATACTTTTGTAAGATCCAAAGATCAATAAAACAACGTTTATCAATAAAATCATTCATATAAATCATTAAACTGAAGTACATTAATAAACACGTTCATCATCCCGCAAGTCATTAAATCCAGAGATATAAATAACTTTCAAAAATGACATCATGCTTTTATAAACACATTTCAAAGGGAATTGCGGGTACTAGCAATAGCCGTTACCTCGATTTACAGTCTTATAACCTTCCTGTTAGCCTTTATTCTATCGTTCTCACTGAGCTCCGAGGTCCGATTCTTCTTGAAAATATAAATTATTGCATTAGTTGGAAAAATTATTAAAATTATAAACTCTTAATTATTTTAGTACGAAAACAACATGAAACTCATTTTTTTAGAAATAGGTGTTACGTAACTTTTTAATAAAAGTAATTTAATCATAATTCCTTCAAGGAGCTAGTACACAAGTATACTTCAATTAACTCAAATTCTTTTTACAAAACATAAATCATAAACAAGTGCCACTTAACTTACTTTGGGCTTAGTATTATATGAAGGCAACAGTCTCAATGGATCTTAAAAGATCATTTCCATTAGTTTTGACAAGAACATGGTCATGAAAGAAGAAGAGGCTATCTAGGAAAATATAGTATATGCTTTATGGTGACAAGGTTTTAGAGCGATGGAGATGTTGGCTTGGATTAGTGGCGGTGATCGACCCAAGTAGACGGTTGGGTTTTTCTTTAAGGAGTGTATTCATGGTTCATTCGTTGCTAGTAGCTCAATATATATATATATATATATATATATATAAAGAGGGGACTTGTTATTCATCGCCCGCAAATCTCTACATAAAGCCCACATTTTATAATTTTTTGACAAATTTGCCCTTTTTATAATTTTAACCGAAGATAAATTTTTCGCACTAAAAAAATGTGGAGCAGCACCGGATCGCCGAGGATCACCGGAGAATCGCCGTCGTCATCGGAAAACGAGGTTCGTAACGCATCGTAAGGACGAAATGGTGGCTGGCGCCTAGCCAAAAGGCCATGCCGTGGTTGTGGCGCCTAGCCAGGACGCCGCCACCGTGGTAACGACGCCTGGTGGAGAAGCCTCGACCATAGTAGTGGCGCCTGGCCAGGACGCCGCAGCCACGGCCAAGGCGCCTGGCCAGGACGCCGCCACCATGGCGGCGGCGTCCTGACCAGGCGCCCCGGCCGTGGCTCCGGCGTCCTGGCCAGGCGCCACTAGGGGAATATATTTTTTTTTTATTTTTTTTTTTATTTTTTAATTTAATCCCCCCTTTTTTTTTTTTGTTTGTTTTTGTTAATTTAATCTTAATGTAATTATATTTATACGTTATATGTTATTGTTACAGGATTATGGTGGAGACGGAAATGATTACAGTGGGATTTTTGTACATGATGGCCTGTTCGAAGATGCTCAACAAGCGATTGATTGGGCAAAACAGGTTGCAATTAGATCAGGCTTTTGTTTAGTAGTAGCAACTCATAAATCTCAACGGGATGGTAGAATGGATCGCATTTTGAGATGCGACCGTTATCGCAAAAGAGAAGAACGAGATTTCAGTAAAGCGATTCGGTTTGACTCAAAGCGGAAAGGTTGTGGGTGTCAGTTCCGAGTTAAGGTTCGACAACATCAAAGGCGTGACGGTTGGGAAGTGAAGGGTTACGGCAAATGGGGATATCACAACCATGAGCTGATAGCATACAAAGTGGGGCATCGGCAGTTAAGCGGCCTAAGTCCAGCTGCGAAACTAGTTGTAAAAGAAATGAGTGATGCTCAAGTGAAGCCCGCTAAAATATTAGCGTCTGTGTTAGAGAAATTCCCCGAAGACCAGCCAAACCGAAGACACATCTACAACGTCAGACAGAAATTGAGGTTTGAACGGTCAGAGGGAAGGAACCCTATACAGCAGCTTCTGCACCAGGCACAAGCACGTGGTTACCTTTACTGGTTTGAATCTGACGAAGACACATCGGAGGTAACTCATTTGTTCCTTGTCCATCCTGATTGTGCTGATATGATTTCGTCTTGGCCATCTGTGATTTTGATCGATTCAACGTACAAGACAAACAAGTACAAGTTCCCACTGGTTGAGATGGTTGGGATGGCTCCAACGAACCAGAACTTTCTGATTGGTTATGCAGTCATGAAGGATGAGACGGCTGCGAGTTACCGTTGGGTGTTGGAAAAGTTGAGAAACTACATCGGCCCAAATGTACAGCCATCGGCCATCGTAAGTGATTGTGAGGGAGGTCTTTTTGCCCCTATAGCGGAGCTGTTTCCGGAGTCGAGCCATTTACTGTGCACATGGCACATCAACAACTGCGTGAAAGTCAAAGCCTACAATCTTTTCAACAAGAATTTAGTAACAGCAGAGACATTGGTAAATGGTAAGTGGCGGAAGATCATGCAAGCTACCACAGAGGCAGAGTACGATCGAGCCTTGGAAAACTTCAAGGATGCGTACAAGTGGTGCCCGCCAATCGTAGACTATGTGATGCATCAGTGGGTACCTCAGAGGGAAAAGTTTGTCAAATATTGGCATTTCAAAATGCCTGTATCCAAAGCCCTCTCCTGGTCCTCCCAAATACGGGTAGCGATGTGTCCTAAAAAGCTAGGAATCACACTCCCGTCTATAGGTCCCCCGGCCACCTCACCCCTCACCATCCAAGAATCATTAACGGCCCTCGACCGTTTTCTGCTACCCGCAGACACAGTGGACGCAGATGATGTGCCAGATCTACTAACAAACCTACCATCTCGACCCTTACGCACATCTACCCTATGCGTCTCATACGTATCATCAAGCCTCTGACTGAATGGACCGTAATCATCATATGGTCCACTCTGATCGTCGACATCCTCATCTGCATCATCCTCGTCCTCGACCTCCTCCTCCTCGACCTCCTCCTCCTCCTCCTCATCATCATCATCATCATCTTGATCGTCCGCAGAACAGTGCACCCGTTCTCTGCGGGCCGAGGCCGAAATACCACGGGATCTAACGTGTCTGGGCCCCGAGCTCTCCATTGAGTAGATCGTACTCCTCACGACGTCAATACTCTTCCCCGCACCAGGTCTAAATTGCGATGCCTAACTCCAAGTAAATAACGAAACATAATAACGAAAACAAATTAAAAAAGTCGAAAATAAACACAAAAGCAAATAAACAAGTCACGGAAATAAAATTATAAACATAAAAAATATAAATATATACAAGACAATATACATATAAACATAAGAAATATAAACATAAACATATACCAAAAACAAAAAATATAAACTACAAACAAAAAAAAAACAAACATAAACAAAAACAAAAACAAAAAATATTACCAAAAACAAAAAATATAAATACAAAAAAGGACGAAAATAAACACAAAAGCAAATAAACAAGTAACGGAAATAAAATTATAAACATAAAAAATAAAAATATAAACAACACAATATAAATAAAAACATAAAAAATATAAATATAAACATAAAAAAATATAAATATGAACAAAACAATATACCAAAAACAAAATATATAACCAAAAACAAAAAATATAAACAACAAACTAAAAAATGAAAAACATAAACAAAAACAAAAAATCAAAAATGCAAAGAAAAAACCAAAAACAAAAAACTAACAAAACTTAAAAAATTTAAAATTGCAAAAACTTAAAAAAAGAAGAACATCAAAATTTTAAAGAAAATTTATAAAAAAAAAAGGGAACTTATAATTTTTTTACATACAAAAATATAATTCAAAAAAAAAAAAAATAGATAGGAACATAAAATTAAAAATTAAAACCAGATACAATTTTTTTTTAAAAAAAAAAAAATAGAACATAAAATTAAAACAAATAAAAAAAAAAATTTAAAAAAAAAAAGATAAAAAAAAAGGGAACATACAATTTAAAAAAAAGAAAAACAAATTTTTTAAAAAAAAAAAAAAAAATTCGAAAATAAAATTTAAAATTAAAAAAAAACAAAAAAAAAATTTAAAAAAAAAAAAGGAAGGAGGCGCCTAGGCAAGACGCCCGTACGGTGGTGGCGGCGCCTAGCCCAGACGCCAATACCACGGCCGTGGCGCCTAGCCTCTGCGCCGCCGCCGTGGTAGTGGCGTCTGGGCTAGGCGCCGCCACCACCGTACGGGCGTCTTGCCTAGGCGCTTCCTCCGTGGTGGTGGCGTCTCGCCTTGGCGCCCCACCGTCGCCGGAGGTTTTTTTTTTAAAAAAAAAAGTTACAAAAATTAAAAAAATTACCTTCTGGCCGGCAAACCGCCTTCCGCCCACCGCCGGTGCCGCCACTTCCTTGCCGGGCCGCCTCGACATAGCTCTGGAAATAATTTAGAGAGAGAAAGTGGAAGTAGAGAGTAGAGAGAGAAATTGTGTGTTTTTTAGTATGAGGGCAAAAGTGTCATTTCACTCTTATTTTGTGGGCTTTATGTAGGAATTTGCGGGCGATGTTTAACAGTTCACATAAAGAGAAGGGAGGAGATAAATTTTTGCACATGAATTGATGATAAGCATAACATGAATAGCAAATAGGAAGGAAGAACTCTTTGACTAACTTTCATTGCTTAACCGTGAAGAATAGCAATGAAGAGGTGGGTTTTGTCTTCTTATTGCTAGAACATTAAGAAAAAGATGATCAAATTTCTATTGTGATAATCATGGGTTATGAGCAACTAATTATATAAAGAAGCAAAATTAAACTTTGTACCATTAAATTCTTAACCGTGAAGGTGGTAATTGAAGAGGTGGAATTTGTCTTCTTGTTCCCTTTTATACCTTAACCTTGAGGGAGTAGGATAAGCTCAAGCTAAGTTGGCAAAGTCTAATCAATTATCCTTGATTGGTTTAGCAAGACATTAGGCAACAAGTATTAGGAGATGTAAAATAATTTTGATCTTCATAACTTAATCGTGAAGGAAAGAAGATTGAAGAGGTGGGTTTTGTCCTTTTGTATGAATCAGGGTATTTTGGTCATTTTATTCTCTCGGGTAAAAATACTGATTTTGATATTAATCTTTAAACATATGGAACATAAAAAATATTACTTACATTGAAATACATTTTAAAATAAATTATTTTCCTTTGAAAAATTAGCTTTCGGAATAGTATAATATGATTTTAAAATAAAATTTAAGACTAAACATTCATTCTTGTTAAAATAGAGACAAAACCTTAATTAAGCTAATAAAATAAATATTAGAGTATGAAAATCGGGTTTTAAAATCTCGGGTATTACATAAGGTGAGCAGAATTAGGCCTTAATCATTGTATGAATCTTAATTGTTTTTGTTAATAATCTTACTTAATTAGTCTTATTAAGTTTGTGGTTTTGTTCTTTGTTTATCATGTTTAATCTTTTATTTTTAGAGTAGGTTATAACTTGTGGAGGAGGAGAAGAGTACAATGACAATTGATTTCAAATGTTGATGATTGATTGTTGATGATTCATGCTTGTGTTGTTGGGTAATTGGTTTAATTCCTTAAGGCTTTTTCGGTTAATGGTTTCAATTTTTTTTGCACACTCCTAGATAAACACCCACCCTTCCCTTTACAACATATTCATGCTTTATTTTATTTTATTTTTTTTTATAAAAAATGGTTTACTAAAAACTCAATACTTAGACAACTTTAATGGGGTTGCCAAGGCCCCCAATTAATCTTCATGATAAACAAATTTCATTTAATAGTGGTTTTGAGCAAAACCGCTATTTTGTCTTAAAATCGCGTAGCAATATTTAGGCAACATCGCTACCCTCAAGTAGCGGTTTTATCCATTTTCACCGCAAAAATTACACTTTTCCCGTGATAAACAAAACTTGTCCATGGTTAGGAGTTAAGAATGACCGGTAACTTTCAAAAAAAAAAAAAAAGTGATCAGTAAAGCCTTGTTTAGTTCAATTTATTTTCTTATTTAGAAAAAATAAGTTAATATCAAATCCGATCAGAAAAAATAAGTTCAGATCAGATCATCGTTTTATGTGCAATATTTTATCGCTAAAAATCTTTAATTTGTAGTGAAAAATATTGTGAAAATAACATATTACTTCCTTTGTCTTTTTTTTTACTGGAGCTGTTTCTTTTATCACGTTTGCCAATGCACAATTTTAACTTTCAATAATTCTCTATAAGTAAAAATTATAAAAGTTACGGAGTATATATTATGATAATACTTATTGGATACGATTCTAATAAGATCTCATATGAATATAGTTTTTCCTTGCATATTATTCACAAAATACGGTTAAAGGTGGGGTAGTGAAAAGTGTAAAAGTCAAAGCGGGTCAAGTGAAAAAGAACGGAGCAAGGTAATAAAATACACATTATTACGAACCTTACAAGACTCCACTTGATATATTTTTTCCTTTTATATTATCATAAGGTTAAAATTTGGTCAAATTAGACCATGGGAGTACTAAATGCAGGACAATTTCACCTAAATGTAGAATAAGTTATATTTTTAAAAAAAATTATATTCCAAATTTGTCCTTGTTTTAACTTAATCCTCTACACTTTTTTTTAAATGATTAAAATTAATCTCGTGTACTCCTAACTATATAATCATCCATATTCCCTACTGTTTGATTTACAACCAAATTCTAACGTATTTAGTCTTGTATCCTATTTGATATTGAATACTATACAAATTCAAAGACAATAATAAAATGCACTATGAAGGTTTTTTTTTTAAGGTATGAAAATTATGTGCTATAATAGATAAATAGTCAAACAAAATAAAATTTTCATCTTGTACGGCTAAGATTTTCAAAGGTCTCCAGCACCCCCGTATACGATTTTCGGGGGTCTCTAGTACCCCCCGGCTAAGATTTCCGGGGGTCTCCAGTACACCCCGGGTAAGATTTTCGGTGGTCTTTGGTACCCACCGGATAAGATTTCCAGGGGTGAACAGTACCCCCGAAAAAATAGGCGGGGTACTTATGATGAACAATTACAACAATTCAACAAAAAAAATTAACAAAAAAAAACTTAGACCGGATGGTTTATGAGCGGTGAATGACTTTTTCGTCCCCCTAAAGCTCAGGTTGAAGAATTTTGAGGGGAATGGTCAAATGAAATGAATTGAAAAAAAATTAAATTAAATTAAATGGTGACTAAAATGGTGAATGAAATGGAAAAAATTGGCGAGTGAAATGAATTGCAAAATAAAAATTGTAAAAACTGAAAGCCTAGTGAAATGGCGAATAAATTTTTTTTTATTTTGGAAAAGGCTATTTCAATCTTTTGATTATTTTCGTATCATTAATTAATTTCTGCATTTAGGTTATTTTGTACTGCATTTACATTTATTTGATTTTTGTATATTCTCTTTTATTTTTCTTTCCTCTTTCCTTTTATAGATGATTTTTAGAGATTGCTTATCTTCAACCTCACTTCCTTCGTGGATTTTCTAGGTTTCGACGACAAATAGGTAAGCCAATAATTTCTCATTTCTATTTAATTTTTTTGTTTATGGTTTTTGTTCAATATTTAGTGATTAGGCTTAGGATTCTTCTATTGACTAACTTTTCCGTACTAATCTAATATAGTTAGTTTTTTATTTTTATTTTTTTTAGAGAAATCTAAAATAGTTAGAGGTGGTTTGATTTGATTTATGAAAATTGAAGTTAGGTGTTTCATTTGGGAATTCTTCGTGTGTAATTGTAATGCTTTTCTAATGCGGAAAATTGAATTTTCGACATTGTTGTTTCTTTGAGCAAGTTAGATACGGAGTATTGATTTAATTCCTGTAAATTTGTGCCTTTTAATTTCTTTTTTTTTTTTTGAAAAAATTGTGCCTTTTAATTTCTAGGTGTGCTTTTTATGCTGTCTATGTTATAAAGATTTCTATGTTTAGTTATGAAAACAATTTTTTTTACTGAGAAATTGAATTAAGGAAGGTGTATTCAGCCTTAATTCTTCTTGTAATGGAAGGATGATGCGGTATCGAGCTTCATATAATCGTACCTAAGATGAGCTTGATCTACAGGTTTTCGGGTTTAAAAAAAGTGGTTTAATATTAAGGTTTAGGCTTTGGTATGTGCTGAATTAACAGTTTTAGTGATTTATTTTGTATAAAGTATTCTTGAGTTTCCAAAAAAGTTTGAATTTGGGGTAAGTGGATGTACACGATTGAAAGACGAGGGTTTTGCCTGTATTTAATTGCTTATCTGCAATCATATTTGCTTCTTTTTTCGATATATATTAATATCTCTTTGTATTTATCATGTAGATGCTCGGAGTTGAAAACGGAAAAAGAGCCTGTGGTCATTCATACAAAGGTGAGAATGAAGATTATGTGGCTAGGTTTCATTGGAGATTATAGCACTGGAGGATCTCAACATTGTTATGGTATGTTCCTTGTTCTTCCCTAACCCCCTTTAACGTTTAATTCAACTTACGTAGTATAATGGGATTGATGCTTAAGGTCATTTCCTTTGTCTTACCTCTTCCTGGGTATATCTTTATATTTTAATGTTTCAGTTTTGGTGAATTGTTGTGTGTCTGTTTCTTTTATGTAGCCTACATGTGGCCATGATTGTTTTCTACGGGCCAAAGTCATGACCTCAATAATGTAAATAGAAGATAAAGACTACAGATCTAATTGGTCAGTTAAACACATAGTGTTCAGTTTTAGTTAAGTTGACAATCAAGTTACATCCAATTTAATTTAAATCAATTTTAAAGTTGTACTAAGTTGTCGGTGATCGAGTCACAGCTTATTTGAAATTATTTTCAAGGTAAAGCTAGTGTTTCATAGCAATACGCAGTACGCTCTTGCACACACATATTAGCTGCATCACAAATTTACAGCATCACAACCACATTATAAATGATTTTGGGCTTACCGTGATTGAGAATTAGACCGCAATAGCCGATTCCACCTCATCCCTGCAAAAGTCGTTAGCGACCATGCTTACGATTGTGATACTGTATCCGATATTTAAAACCATGATTAGATTGGGTAATAATGTTTAGAAATCTTAGACATACAAAGAGTTGAGAAATCTTATCACTCACATTAGAATGTGAAAGTGATCCATGTGATGATGATAAGAGTAAATACTAAATAGGAAATGGATCACTAATCACCATTCAGTTTCCACCTTAATTTAAAATTTTATCATGTGTTAGTTTTTTTTTTTTTTTTTTTTTTTTAATTTTTTATCTATTCAACCAATCACAATTTATTTCTTATCTCATTCTATATTGAATTATATTCGAAAAACACAAAATATCATTTAATATCATCGCTGACCATGCATCCCAATAATCAAGATTATTTTTCTGTTATTCTCCTTTGTGGAAAAATTAAGGGCTAAAAATATGTTTAATTTTTAAAATTTTGTTAGTGAACCTTTTGATGAAGATGACACTTTTCATTAGATTGAAAAAGATTTATGGAGGTTTCCAGCAAGACAAAAAATTGTGTGATTTTGGTTGTATTTCGATTCTCAAAATAATTTAAAGTATTATTTATTAAAATTCTATGTATTTTGATTATAATTAATAACAATTCATTATTAACTGTGTTTATTCATTATTTTACTTTTGCATTTTTTAATTAATCTTCACACTAATTAAAAATAGTTTATTTGATTTTGTTTTCTTATCAATTACTCTCTATGTATCGGTTTAATTTTTTTTATACTTTCTTTGTGATTGTCCTGTATTAATTTTACGCTTTTATTTTGGATAATGACCCTACTAATCCCTTATTTTGAAATAATAAACATAATTTGTCTTTTCATATACTTCTCTCCGTTTTCCTAAGTTTGACTCATTTTCCATTTTCATCCGTTCTAAGTTCTACTCACTTAGTCACTTTTACTTTACTCCATATACAACTTTTATATATTTATTTTTTATCATTCACAACCCCACTTAGGTGAGGCCCAATATCGTTTCATAAATCTCTTACTCTTTATCTCTCTCTTCTTTAGTACAAAAGTACCAATATGCGGGATTTTCATTTCCACTTTTCCTTAATTAGGTTGCGTAACTATTATTAATGTTAAGTAAATTGTTGTAAAATTAATATTAATATATGCTTCCTCCATTCCTTAAAAATTGTCTCATTTGGAATCTTTAGCACTTTCCAATGCATCAATATATTATACTAAAAGACAAGCGCCTCAATGTGAGGATGACAAATGTCACTCTCTCATTGGCTTATCTTATGTATAAAATATATCTATATAATTACTGTTTACATATTCAAGCTGAGTTATTTTTGTTAAACTTCAAACAATAAAAGCAAGTTTCTATACATGCATAAAATTTTCATGATTTCCTAACATAAATATTGATTTAATTTTTTATAATAAATATATACTTTCCAATACTATAAATAATCCATAAAATCTTTCCAATCTTTATTTATAGTTAAGTTAAAGAATAATAACTAATTTGAAGCAATATGATTAAAGTGACATAATTAAGGAAACAAATATTTCGTATTTTGAAAGGCTAATATTTTTTTTTTATGAAAATTAAATAAAATCGATAATATTTAGTTTGACGTCAATTATGAAATCAATACAAACATTAAAAAAAAAAATTAGATGTACAATAAAATATTGTGCACCTATTATAAAAGCTACCCTGTAATGAAGGAAAGTTATTTATGCTTTATTGATAAAAGTTAACCAAAATAGTCTCCAAGTTATCCTAAATTCAATTCAAGTAATCGGATGAATACAAAATTTTTTGATAAAGATACAAAATAGTGTAAAAATTACTTTTATCGTTTGTTGTACTCCTTGACAAATACTGAATGCTGAGCCGAAATGTTGTATTGGAAAAAATACATAATCTTGAACATAAATTTAATTTTAATCGGCCTTTCATTTTCTATACAATGTCTTTTACAATGACCTTTTGTTTTTCTTGCATTAAAAAAAAAAAAAAAAAAAACTGAACCAATAACCAATCTAAACAAGAAGAAAGGGATAGATATAAAATGTATTATAACTATTACTCATGTTTTAAATTGTAATATTCGTATTAACAATGCTATTACTTATGAATTTTTTTAAAAAAAAACTAACATTTTGATTTAAAAATCGTGCATTGCTCATGTACTATACTAGATTTACAACAATCATGTGCAATAATTTATGTTGTTTTATACATAATAATACTTTTAAATATAATAGTGTGTGTATATAATATAATATTTTTTATAATATAAAAAAGTATATGTATATAATATAATATTTTATAACACGTGTCCTCCATACCAAGTGTAGTCTCAATCACCACTACACCAATTGGTAATTGGTGTAGTGGTGATTGGGACTACACTTGGTAGGGAGGACCTATGTGCTCCCCTGCAACAACAATCGGAAGGGGAGTAAAACCTAATAACTAATTTGATCCTCAAATCTGGATTAGACCAAAGGGTGAACCGGATAGAACACCCAAAACTCAATGCATATATGAGGGGTATTAACTTATCCTTTATCTATCTTATATAAAACTCCAAAGTCTAATTTTTTTTTTTCAAAATATAATAATAATATTTGTAAATTTTTGTTAATATGAAAGATATAAACCTATCAAAATGTATGTGCTCCCCTGCAACAACAATCGGAAGGGGAGTGAAACCTAATAACCTAGAACTGATCCTCAAATCTGGATTAGCCCAAAGGGTGAACGGGATATAACACCCAAAACTCAATGCATATATGACGGGAATTGACTTATCCTTTATCTATCTTATACAAAACTCCAAAGTCTAATTTTTTTTTTCAAAATATAATAATAACATTTGTAAATTTTTGTTAATACGAAAGATATAAACCTAACATAATGTATATATAGTTAAATTGTTTAATAACTTATATCGAATGCGTAGTTTTATTAAAATTATTTGCATGTAATCATTAAATGTGTTGGATGTTGTGTAGCTGTGCAATGTCCAAAACTTTAGTTGAGCGACTTTGATTTATTGATTGTATGGTATATTGATATTGACTTCGATCTTGAAACCTAATAGCCTAATAAATTCTAAATAGAAAAATTAAAACAAAAGGAAATAAAAATAGTAAATGGCTTTAAATATTGAAATAAACATAACCTTTTAAATCAATTTAGTGAATTCAATAGACAATTTTAAGGCATTTAAAATTAAATGGGGGAAAATATATGTAAAAAGAACATTTTTAGATATACAAATGTCCATAATGGGGGAAAATATATGTAAAAAGAACATTTTTAGATATATAAATGTCCATGCACTATTATAAGAGTTTTGTTAACCTTTTTATAATTAAGGTAGGGATAAATCTTAGTAATATATACTCTGTATACTTTATTTATATAAAATTATCAGTATCCATACCTATATACGAAGTATTTGTGTCGTATACTATATTTAGTCAGTTGTTAGTTATATATATGACTATTATATAATATATAGTTTTTGGCACAGTGCTTAACTTAGAAAAATATATGTTTTGGTAGGTCAAATATAAGGTTATTATTGTGTCTATTGTTAAGAGATAATCATATCTCCTTGTTAATAGCTGTAGTTATCTTCTTTCCTTAATTATAGCCTCTGTTTTCATTCTTTATTGACTATTATTCACGGTCAATCATATTTTAGGTTGTTACTGATTTCTAGCCTTAATTGTAGGCTTTACCGTAGCTTAGTTTCCTTTGGTAGGTTATTTGCTTTCTCTATATATAGTTGTAAATACTTACTTTGCTATTCAATACAAAATGTATTCAAACTCTGGTATCATGAGCTATTGATCCAACTTTTTTTTCCGCTTCCGCTACTATCATGGCTACACCATCAAAACCCTTTGTCAACGCAGACAAATGATGGTGACCATATTCAACTTCCCTCTCGGATAGCTCCAAACTCCTTATGGAGAAACAATCCCTCTTTGGCACCCTGTAGTTTATCTATCATGGAATGCCTACAAAGCTAATTTTCAATTCAGCACCACGTAGTTTATCTACCACGGAATGCCAATTATCAATTTTTTTTTTCTCTCCGAATCCCTTACGGAAAAACAAATCCATAATTCGGCACCAAGTAGACTCTCTACCAAGGATAGCCAACTATCATTTTTTTCTCCAAACCCCTTACGGAGAAACAAATCCATAATTCGGCACCATGTAGTCTCTCTACCAAGGATAACCAACTATCAATTTTTTTTCTCCACACCCCTGACAGAGAAACAAAACCATTTTTGACAACCCGTAGTTTATCTACCTAGTGTTGTCAAGCATAAACTTATTTTTCCAAACTCTTATGGAGGAACCACCCACTACTCTTTTTTTTTTCAAAAAAAAAAAAGAAAAAAAAATCCATAACCATGAATACCGAAGCTCTCATTCCCAACCATGCTGACCCAGCCAAACCCTTAATAACACTCATCCATGTCCATAACTGCATCAATCTCACTCCCACTAATTACATTGCATGGAAAACTCAGCTTCAAGCCACCCTCATTGGTTATGACCTCTGGAAATTCATAGATGGTAGCTTCCCCTCACCACCCGAATCCACCACTGTTGATGGTGCTCCTGTGGCTAACCTTGCTGCCTTGACCTGGTTCCGTCAGGATCGCTTAGTGTACGGTGCCATTGTTGGTACCCTATC